CAATAGGAAGGGGTGCGGGCAGGGCCAGGAGCAGGCAATAGGAAGGGCCTTGGGCGTGGGCAGGGCCGGGCGTTATATGCAGGAAGGGGCACGGGCAGGGCCGGGTGCTCACAGCTGCTGTCCCCCCCAGGTGTATGACGTCCCCCCATCCGTGAGCAAGGACGTCCCGGACGGCCCCTCCCGAGAGGAGACCTATGACGTGCCCCCTGCCTTTGCCAAACCAAAGGCGCTGGACCTGCCCCGGCACCCAGCGGAGCCAGCCCTGCCCGAGGATGTGTATGACGTGCCACCGGCGGCGGGGAAGGGCGCCCCCGAGGCCCCCTTCCCACAGGAGATCTATGACGTGCTGCCTGGCCTGCGGAAGCTGGTGGGGCCCGCGCAGGATGTGTACGATGTGCCCCGGGAGCTGCACGCTGGCAGCCTGGATGCTGAGGGCGAGTACATCTATGACGTGCCGCCGCAGGTGGACCGGGAGGCCAGGGCGGGCGATGCCAAGCGCCTCTCAGCCTCCAGCACGGGCAGCACCCGCAGCAACGTCTCCAGCTCCTCACTGGACGTGGGGCCGGGCAAGGATGCGCCCAAGGAGCTGGGCCTGGGCCTGGACCTGGACACGGCCATGGAGCTGTTGGCCCGGCTGCAGCACCACATCAGCGGTTCCGTCTCCTACCTCATGTCCTTCATCAGCACCGGCTGGCGCAGCCCGGAGCAGCTGGAGCTCCACGCACCCAGCCTCCGGGCGGCAGCCGAGGGCATCAAGGGGGCGCTGCGGGACCTGCTGGAGTTCGCCCGCGGGGCCGTGGGCAACGCGGCCCAGGCCTCCGACCGCGCCCTGCACACCAAGCTCAGCAAGCAGCTGCAGAAGATGGAGGACGTGTATCAGGCCCTGCTGCGGCACAGCCAGGCGCTGGATGGCTGTGGCTGGGCCCCTGGTGCCCTGGCGGCCGGCAAGCCGGGCGGCACCGACGACCTGGACCGTCTGGTGATGTACTCACGGGGCATCCCTGACGACACCAAGCAGCTGGCGTCTTTCCTGCACGGCAACGCCTCTCTGCTTTTCAGACGGGGTAAGCCGCCGGCGGACGGCCCAGACACCAGTCTGCTCCTTGCCAGCCACCCGCCACCAGCGCCCGCCGACAAGGCCAGCAGCATCCAGTCACGGCCCCTGCCCTCTCCGCCCAAGTTCTTGGCGCAGGACTCGCCCGACGGGCCGTACGAGAACAGTGAGAGCGGCTGGATGGAAGACTACGACTACGTGCACCTGCAGGTGGGCAGCGGGGCGGGAGAGAGGAGGCGGAGGGGGCACCCCAGGGCAGAGCGGGGGCTGGGCTTGCTCTGGAGGGGGGCACATCTCGCTGGGGGCACCCCAGCCTCCCCCGACTGAGACAGGCCTCCCCCATTCACCCCTCCCCCTCACATGAGGCCTCTCTTCCTCCTGCTTCTCTCTCCAGCATTGCCCCCCAGGCACAGAGCTGGTGCCCCCGGGCGGGGTGTGTTGAAATGTGTCTGGGCCTCACCCACTCGATGCCCCTGCGTCCAGCCCCAGCAGGGAAGCAATGGGTCCAGCTGGGACTGACTCCTGGGAAGGCCATGGGGGTAGGGACCGGTGCCTGCTGCTTGCCACCCACCCACCACCTTTGCTTCCTTCCCTGGCACACTGCCCTGGCTAGGGGGTTCCCACTTCCCAAGCCGGTTGGGGGGCAGCAGGGTGCCAGGGGTGAGCCTGGGATGGGCAGGTTTTCTAAGGCCAGGATGCTGCGCACTGTGGTGGAGGTAGGGTTCCTTGCCACTTTTTGACAGCCCAGAGGCCCATGCTTATCGGGCTCCCTCCCTCTATTTGGGGGGCTGAAGGGGGCCTTCAGTCTTCTGGGTACCTTGGGGAACCTCTCCACGTGCCCCATAACCAGCCCCGGGCGCCTCCCAGGTTGCCCATGCACTGGCTGTGCTTCCTCTGCAGCAGCCGCTCCCAGGGAGCAAGCCCGGGGGGCCATGTGGACGCAGCCCCTGCCTGGCGCTAGCCAAGCCGCTCCTAGCACCAGTTACGTGGGGGGCGAACCTGCCTCCCTCCCGCTAGGCTGGGTGCCCCGGCCTGAGTCCTGTTGGGCATCTCCCCTTGGCCAGGCCACGGGACTGGGCACCCAGCCAGCCAGTGCGGTTTGACGAGCTCGGCGTGTGGCATCTGGGACCCATCTCAGCCAGCCTAGGCAGGAGTCTGGCTGGCCAGCCAGCCAGCCTTCTCCAGCTGTGAGCCTGCAGCGCCACCGCCTGGCCTTCTGCAATACTGCACCCCGGGCTGCAGCACTAAAGCCAGCTGTGTCTCTACTGGGAGGGCTGGGTGTGCTGGTCCCACCTGCCCCATGCTCAGCTCCGAGGGGTGCGGCACTGCATGCTGGAGCTGCAGTGGGGCGGCTGCCTCTCGGGTTCCTCACAGCGGGTGGCTGCACTCCGCCCCCTCTCGGGAGCTCTTGGTTCCCCCCTGGGGCTCGTGGCAGGCAGGCTGGGCTCGCAGCCCCCTCGTCACCACGGAGTCCAGGCCAGGGTGTAGGCAGCTGTTATGCAGACAAAACTACACAGGATCGTTTCAGGGGACAAGGCAAAGATGCCACGTTTATTATGATAACAATTTGATCTATAACCACTAGCTAATACCTAATACTTATATACATACACACACACACACACCCCCCCCACAAGTGTTCTGTGGCTGCTGGATAGTTACCAGTCCTAAACGTAGCTTGATTCCGCGGCTTGGGATCGTGGCTCCTGGTGGTAACTGGCCAGGAAAGCCGGGCACGAGGAAGGGCTGGGTCTCTGTCGGGCGCGCACCGATGCCCTCCCATGTTGGCAGCAGAACGTTACCCAAAGTCTTCCATCTCACCCATCTTTTTAATAGGCTTTTAGTCTGAATCCAGAATCTATAGGACTTGCTGCGTCACGCTGCTTCTGGAGTCGGTGTGATTGATCACCCGTCAATTGCAGACTTTCAGCCTGGGACCTGGCTTTGATCTTCCTTCAATTGCACCTTTTTTTTTTTTTTTTAGGGTGGACTCTTCTTACTTTGTTAGGGATCTTGTCTGCATTTTCAGCCGTTGGTGACTGGTGACGGGCTGGGGCTGGAGGTTGATTCCATCATCCATACATACCTCATTCACACATCTAAACTAAACTAATAAGATTACATTAGGGTTTTGCAAAATGAGGGTTGCAGCAGGCTTTTACAAAATGGAGTGAGCATTTTAAAATGGAGTTTGAGTTACAATATGGACAAGTATAATGAATGGCAAACAGTGAGCAGAAGTTAGTGTTGAAACATAAGCCCACGAAAGCTTATGCTCTAATAAATTTGTTAGTCTCTAAGGTGCCACAAGTACTCCTGTTCTTTTTGCGGATACAGACTAACACGGCTGCTACTCTGAAACCTGAAGAATGTTGAAACAGTGCAAGTTTCAGTGATTTAAGCAGCAATTGGATTGAAAGTGAAACTTACAAGGGCAGCTGGCAGACCAGCTATGGCTCTTAACAAGCATCTTAATTGTCAATTAGCCAGTTATTGGGGTAACCGGTTTTATGAATGAATGTTTCATTCATAAAACTTTACTTATGAACAATTTCACAACCCCCCAGGGGTGAGTGGCTGGCAGCTGGAGAGTCCGTTCTGGAGGTGAGGGGCATGGGGAGGGGCTAGGAACGGGCTAAGCAGGGCCGGTGCAACCCATTAGGCGACCAAGGCGGTCACCTAGGGTGCTAGCATTTGGGGGGTGGCATTTCGGGTTCTTTGGTGGCGACCGGATCTTCAGCCGCCCCGGTCATCGTCGGCATTTAGGCGGAGGGAGCTGGGGCAGGGGGGTGCGGGGAGGGCCGCCTGCAGCAAGTGGGGGGGGGGGGGGG